AAGAGCGTGGAGCAGGGCTGAGCACAGAGAAGAAGTACCTTAGAACCTTCAGAGTAGGACAAGCACTTTGGGGTTAGGAATGATCTTGAAATCACTGTACATATTGCCTAAATTATACGTGCCCGCTGGTGAAGAAAGTGACTGCCTTATCCGTATGTCACATGCGACATAACATGAATTATGTTCCTGTAAGTGACAGTAGAACCTCACGTATCAGACATTTCCCTAATCATCTGAGTCAAAAGCTATAGATTATGTCTTAGTAGAAATCACAAAGCATTACACCACTGGTAGATTCTGATATGTTATTTAAAGAGTGCGATACTCCTAGCTATGCACAACCAAATCTCTCCAGCACTGTAACAAGCAAGGTCAACTTGGTTAGTTGAAGTTCTGTTTTTTAAATGACTTTTATAAAAATACTTAGCCCTAGGGTTTTTAATTTTCTTGGTATATCTACCGTATTTCTCAGCTTTTGGTATTAAAGCACACTGAAATAATTTTATAAAAGTAATTTTTTAGTTTTTGAGTGTTCCAAAGTAGACTGTCCAAGAATATATAATTTACAATACATGGCCATTAATAAAACTGTACTGTAGCCAGAAAATAGGTGTGATAGTACTTTTCTTTTAAAATTATACCAGTTCATCACCCTGAGTCATTTTTAGGTTTCTATGGTGAATGTTTTTTCTGCAGAGGAGGCCTGAGAGTTTGCTGGCTGACTGAGCCTTTCCTCCAGTGCATTTTCTGTCCTAACCACTGTGGGAGATAGGTGTTAGAAATCCTTTCCAGAAGCAACCTTTAACTTTAGGAGGAGAAGGTGAGAACCCTGCTCATTGTAAGAGACAGCCTGATCTAGATATCCGTTTGTTTTGATGAGAGTGATTATATGACATGGCTGACTGTGATGAGGAGTTGATAGCCATGACTGTAGAATTAATAACTTCTTAGGAGATCTCCTTCCATCCTGCGTTGCTAAAAGTGAGATAAATGGTGCTGCAATGAATTTTGCCCTTTGAAGGTCAGTGTCCATACTGCACACGAAACGAGTCCTTGCCATTCATGTTTTACAAGAACAATATTAACATTCATGAACATTTCAGCTTTAACCATGCGATGAGTTTGGTTAACAAAAATGCCAGCTCCTTATCTTCTGCGGGTCCTTATTTCACAAAGCAAATCAGTTTGTTTCTACATGAGTATGGACCTCCTGGACTTCTGTGAACGTCTGTGAACACGGTGACCTGGGGCAGCGGAAGCCATTTCCAGTACAATGTCATTTAAGCTCTGTTCAGAGAAGTCTGATCAACTTGATGCTGAAAACAGCTGCTAAAGCGGGTGAGCTACTTACAGTAGGGTTGCTGATGTTGCTGAAATTGGTGCAGCATAGAACTGGTGCAGTTTTTTAGAGCTCTACAGTGTACAAGGCTCGAAGGTCAGACTGAGAGCACTGCTGTGCAGGACTGAACTCCAAAGAAACTCTCAGTCCTATATAGGATTTATTAAACTCATTAAAATAACACCCCGTCCTAAATGAGCCACAGCTTTACTTACTCTCTGTTGTGGCTCTCGAAACTCAGAGAGTGTAATTCCCTCACACAATAGCAGCGAGAAGCCACAGATCGAAAGCAGCTGCCACCATGTTTGCAAAGGGGAACGTGCTCCTAACAGTCTGCAGTTTCTGTCCCAGAAGTGCTGCAGCTACTGGTTTACCCCATTCAGAGATGTCTCTGTTTGAGTCAGAGGTTCAAGTAACCTTCTCAGAAATGGAGCTAAAGACTAGTCACTTCAAAAGAAAAAAAAAAAAAAACCCAAACCAAAACTGACTGTAAAACAGCCTTGGTTCAGCCTCTGTCTCCCTCAGTTACACTGTATCTGTCACTGCAAAGCCCTATTACACTACTGTATAATCAGAAGGGGAATGAAAACGTAGGTCTTGCTATCAGTTCTGCTGTGAGATCTAAGGCTTATCACGCAGTTCCTCTGCTAACCCTGAGGCTTACTACTCAACTACTTTCCAAATCTTGAGTAAGTGATACATCAAATACTAAATATCTGTAGGCAATCCCCAGATATCCCCTCAATGCCTGTAGAAGTATATGCATTTAAATACACACCCAAAACATACCTTTGTGATTCTCGGTAATAAGCAACATCTTCAGTGTGTAACCCTGCACTTGGAAAGATCAATTGCCATTAGACTGCAACTTTTGATTACTGGAGATGCTTGTGATCTTGGAATGGCTGCCTTTTGGTGGTAATAGGAGCAACAGCAGCTGGACATGAAGTAAGAAAGATGTTTAGGGAAAGTTCTGTTAGTGCTGTCCTGAGCTGCACAATAACCTAGAATTAATAAGGGAATCTAGAAATTTTACAGAAGTGTTAAGGCAGAAATTATTTCAGTTACCTAAGGAATTCTGCCTTGTGGCTTGGGGATAAAACAGCATTAAAGAATGTTGTCCTTGGTATGTGAACTGTACTTTGGACACATATCTTGAAATGGATTGTAGAAAATCAAGGGGTGTATACTCCAAGATATAACAGCAATGCAGATTGCATATCCAGAATAAAAGAGTACTTTACACACCTTAACTGATCAATAAGCAAGACTTTTTTCCCTGTATACTAAGTAGGCTACAAGAGCAGCAGTTAATAGCAGGGGAGAGAGACTGCATCATTCATGGTACAAATAGAAGGTCCAGTTCACATTAAAAAGAGACTTGCCTTTGTCTTCTAAACACAGCGGGTTGTCAGTGGTATTTGATATGAGTGGATGAAGCACAAAAAATAACAGCAGCACAGTTGCAGAACAATTCAAATCACAGCCCACAGTAGCTTGTCAATAAGTGGTAACCATGCACACACTGCAATACTTGATACCACTTCTAAGAGTGAGAAATGTGGTATCACTGGCACTCACTAGAAATACATGTCAGAAAGCCAAAGCGTAGGATGGTCAAACAATGCAGGAAAAAGATCCGGCATCCTTTGTGGCGCTCATGACAAAGCTAGCGGACATGTTATTCAATTGGGAGAAACAGCAGTCTTCCATCAATTCTGCTAGCAATTCCTTGAAGCTTTCTGAGGCAGCAAGAACAACAGTTCATACGAGATCACGAGCTACAACAGGCAGTCCATGTGTTGAGCCATGATGTTCTTCGATGAAAGTGCATTCTGTCAGGGTAATGAAAGATTGATGAGAATAATAATCCAAAGCTTGTAATATGTACAACAAAAAAAAAAAAGGGGTGTCTTCCTTGGAACTTGGAATTTTTGTTGTTTTGATCCACTTGATAAATGCCACACAACATACTGCTTGCATAGGCCTCAGTCAGCAGGGAGAGATGACAAGGCCACCTTGGCACTCCCGCTTTAATCTGTCATCAACGCGAGTGCATGCCAGTGCCTGGGAGAAGCACTGGAGGTCGTCCGCTGCTGGCGAGAAGGCAGCGGGGAAGGCGGCAGGAGGGCGGTGGATGAGTCTCCTTCCAAAGGCCTCCTTCCGAAGGCCTCCCAACGGTCTTTGCTGACTGAGGACATGGGAGGGGCAGAGCACTCCGATATTCCTTAGCTGCCGTCAGGTCACACAGCAGCCTGCCTGCCACGTAGTCTGATGGGGTTTTTATACTTCAGCTTCCCTAAAAGTACTAACACATCGGTATTACGTACGAAACAGCAGGTTCTAAACCAAAGGCAAGTCAGAGGAAGGAGCTGATCCGAATCACCTGGGCTCTGTCATGCCGAACAATTTTGCTCTGAGAGACCCAGTTAATTGACGATTGCCATTCTTGACACCAAGAGGCAAATAAAATGCGGCAGTGAGAAGGCCATAAAAGCTGGCCAAGGGCCTCACCCTTTTTATTTTATTAAGAAACATGAGTGTTTCTGTGGGTATAAAGTAAAAGAGATGCTATTTCCCCGGCATATGTAAAAATACATTATTAACCACAGCTTTCTCCAGGGTTTCTGTTGCATCTTTTGTGTATCATCAGTGCACAGATGATTAGAGCTTCTATTGTACGTAAGGCGTTATCAGGCCATAAGGGTAAGTAACAGGAACATTCAGTGTTACTAAGTTTTGCAGCCTGAATTGTCTATTTTTTATTTAATTGCCTGTCTCATACTTTGTTTTTATACATACAGAAAAAAAAATTCACCTCTGCTGCTGCCAAAGAGCTGAAGCTGATACCTCTTGCTTCTTTCAGTTTCCTTCTACTTTTACCACTGTTTCCGTACTACGGTATATTTTGCTGACTATACAAAAACTGTATACTATTATGTATTAATCTGCATATTAGGTGTATAATAGTGACTATTTGGATAAAACATTGTCAAGTTCTCATCATCCCTACCATCTCCTTTTCTGACTGCTACAGAACATCAGTTCCGACATTTCAGCACAGAAGAAAATTATGAACCAGTGGTAATGTTTAATTACACAAGAGTGGAAACGGCTTTTCAACTTTTCACATTTTTGGATTGTGAAAAGCTTGAGTTTGTGCACCCAGACTGTTACAGTCTCGCTTCCAGTTACTGCAGTCAAATCACAAAGTTTTCATTCTCCCTCGTCAGCCAGTATTTATTCCTTCAAGAACTTTCAGGTTATTTCCCCTGGAGTCATGTGAAGACATTTTAGTACATAAATGTAGTTTTCCCTATAATGCCTAGTACTTAATTTGGGATCCAGAAAGTCTCCATCGTCCTCCCTGTATGGATTTTGATACTTGAGTCATATTCCTATTTAATTTGAAGCTATACTCTTACGCCGTACCATTGCTGAACCTAAAAGGTTGCTACTTCCTCTGCTTTGGTAGAGGTAAGTTCAATCACTTCTCATCAAAGAAGGTCTTCTCACGCTGTGTCATCCTAAATTCATGCATTTGCATTTGCCCTGGAGTCCGCTATTCCTCCCTTACATTAATCACCAAAAAACTTTGCGATCGACATCTTTGCAGTCTAAGAGTCTCAGAATCCATTTATGAGCCCAGTAAGCATTACTGTGCATTTTCTTTCCACGTGAACCGTAGTTAGCAGGAATTCCCCAGCACCTTTCCTGTCAGATTTCCTGTGCTAAAACACCTGAAACCTATCGCAAAAACATTTCTGAAAGACAAATTCATCAGGTGTATTAATGTGATAATGTGATTTTATATTTTGCAAAACAGTCCCCTCTCCAAAAAAGGAAATGATTTAATGGTTTCAAAAATATTATTAGAGCAAATTTCAACTGCATAACATTTAAAGGAAAGTCCATTAGCATAGTCAAACAAATTTTACAAAGCAGTTTTTTAGAAAACTATGTAATGTCACGATTTATTTTGTAATATCTCTCTTATTACTAAGACTAATAAGATACATAAGCAAAGCTCCCTCCATCACAGTTAGCCTGACATCTGAGAACAGTTTACAATACCACTGCTCATTGCATTGACTGCGAAGTGATGTAAAAAAAAAGTTAATTTAGTATCTGTGAAAGAATTTGACAAGTTGAGCTGGTCAGTTAGAAATCAGACTGTTTACATTTCAGTATATTAATAGTCACCATTTCTGGGAAAAACCCACACAACAGCAACTTGATGGGCTTGTTAAAAGTTAGTGGCTTTTTAATGTATATTCAGGTAAGGCCTTTAAAGATTGATAAATGTGTATTAACGACCCTGTACAGCATTAAGGAAGCCTACCAAGACCATCCAAAAATATAAATACAGAAAAGTTGTGGATAAACCCTTTTAGATGCTGAAATGCTTTTCTCATGGAAGTAGGATAAAGCTGGTTCTGTTCATTAGAAACATTTTATTACATTGATATAACTTTCTAGTAATACTGACTCAATCATTTGCCTCATTCCACGCGTTTACTCCAATGTTTACTGGTTTATCTTTATCCCTTTTACCCCAGTTATTAGCCAGAGCCATGGCAATGAGCCCAAAGTTCATTTTTATGGTGCATGTTTGATTCAATGTTACTTCATCACCTCCTCCCTTCTTCTACTCTTTTGTTGGCTTCTGCCACCTGTTGCATCTTGCTGGAAGCCTGGACTGTGAGGGCTCTAAAACCGCGACTGACTTTTGCTGCGTCGGAAACTGAACCCACCGTTCTGATGTGTCCTCTGGCTTGCAAGGACACTAACTGACAATGCTTAGCAATTAGAATACCAGAATACAACTTGTAAGCCAAGTATGTTTGTGATCTCTGCAGACCGTATCAACATCTTGGTCAATACCTATGTTTGTTTAATGACTGTAGTAAGTACTAAACTAAGAACTGCCGTATGAGGTCAGACTACAGGTGCATTTAGCTCAACATTTTGTATATTCTAATAGAAATTAGTACTGGATGCTTAGGAAGCAGCATCTGTAGAGTAAGTGCTGCCCTTGCTCTACCCTCCTAGCTTCTGGTGACTAGCAGTGTAAAGATTTTTTTCTGGTATAAAGGGATCTATCCTCCAAGAAGCTGTTTCTTTGAAACCGTTTACAGTTCTGACTTCCACAACATCCCATGGCTATGAGTTCCAAGACTTAAATACTGTGAAGCAGTACTTCCTTTGTCTCAGTCATTTGCCTAATCATTTCATTTGCTGCATGCCTTTTCTTGTGCAATGAGAAATAGCATTCATCGCTGAATTAACTAATCATCCCCTATTTGTCTTTTCCATACCATTCATATCTTCCTCGATCACTTCTTCTGCCAGCCAAAAAGTTGTCATAAGGTGTCTTTTCACTGAGAGCCATTCCAAACCGTGCAACACCCTGTTGGCCCTTCTCTGCATTATTTCCAGTTCTGTGTTCTTGACGTGGGTGCAGCACTGCAGATGTGGACGCACAATGGTACTCCCCAGTGACATGATGATGATCATCTTCTGTTTCATTCTCAATTGCTTTTTTAACAACACCCAAAATTCTGTTTGCCTGATGTTTACCGCTGCTAAGCAGTAGTCTGGTCCCACGGACCGGACACCCATTAGGAGCTGGAACACATTTTCTGGTTTAGTTTCACCTGAAGGCAGTGCGGTCGCTGCTCCCCAGGACAGCTCTGTGATGCAAACAGAGGTGTGGTAAATGGGGATCACAGGGAGATTCACTTCAAAAGCACGCACCTGATCCAAATTAAAATACTAACGTGGACACACCCAGAAACTTTCCACAGTGATTCCAAGACCTTTCCTGAATAGTAACGGCTTCTTCAGGGCTCACTGTTATGCATGTATAGTCAGGATTATTTTTCCTTTCATCATTAGCTTGAATTTATAAACACTGAATTTTAGCTGCTGTCATCCAGCTCTTCACCGTCAACCTTTCTCTTGACAACACTAATAATAATGTATAAGTTATCAGCAGTAAATGTGATTATTTTCAAATAACTGATGGTTCTGTTGTACAACACAGGTCCCAATACTGATGTTTGGAAACTCTATCATAGCCACCCTTCACTGCTTCCTCTCCATGAACCATGTAGTCCAAGAGATGACCAATCCTTCTGGACCACAGCTTTGTTTCATTAGCAGCCGCTCCTGTGGGATCTTAAAAGAAGGATTTTGAAAATCCATTTACACCAGCCAGAGCCATTCTTATCCAGATAGCGATTAAGAGTTCTGTGAGATGTGTCTTTCCTCTAAAAATTCATGTTAACTCTTCTCCGAACCAAGACATGTTCACATATATCTGCTGATTCTATTTCTTTTTATAGGTGCTACTAATTTGCGTGCAATGGAGCTCAGACTTAGTGGGGTGTAGTCCCTTGCATCCATTGGGTGCTGAGCACATGTGAGTGACTACGTTATTATAAGATGATTTCAAATAAAACCCACAAATTCTAAATAAATGCAGTGAAGTGCCTTATGGAAGAAAAGATCCTCATTGTTCCTGTTTTGCCCCTCTGGAGGAACGGGCTGCGAGTTTTGTGGGTGGTCTGTGAGAAATCTAGCAAAGTCCAAGTGGGGCAACTGCTATTTTCAAAGAAAAGTGTCTTTTTGACAGATGTTTTCAATGCTGTTTTTGTTTTAGCATTTTGTTGTAGTCTACTGATCATGCTGCTACCGTTCTCAATTTTGCAAGAGTCAACCTATTTCTCCTTCTTTGGTAAGCCACAAGAAGAATAATTTTTTCCTACACAGGTCAATCATATCAACTTACTGTGAAAGTTTTTAGAGACCTAATAGATGTGCAACAATATTTTATATTATTACTCATAATGAGATACTATTGAAATAGTATTGGAATCTACATTTTCTGTGTAATTGAAGAAAACAGATTGAAGTGTATTTCCCCTCAGCTTTGCAATATTACCAGTCTAAAGTTTTGATAATAAACAGTGTGACATTGTTATTCATCAAGCCAAAAGGATGATTCTCCTTTTGTCAAAAACACAATATTCTTATTTGCATGAATGTAAAGCAAGCCAGCATTCACATACCCCACTACTAGTTGCCCTACATTTTAAAGTGAAATAATTGCATTGTTTGATATATTATGTTGTTCTAATAGTTTAAACACAAGGAACAGTTTACTATTTAATTAATCTTTTTTGCCAGTGTCAGGATGCCAGTGTCATAAAACGTGCTGCAGAAATTGTCTGAAAAATATATGGGTAAGGAGGAACAACAAAAAGGGATTGCACTGATGAAAATGTACAGAGCCAAGAAACTGTAATACTGCTAAAAGTCAAATGAATAGACAAAGAAATGCTATTTACAGCATAGCTGGCCATCACAATTACTCCATTGATTTTAAAAAAATAATTAGCCAATTTCTTTCAATATTAGACCACATTTAAATTTTGCCATTATTCGAACTGTCTCTCTCTAAATATTTTAACTTTCAGAAACAATTACTAAACAATGAGTTTATTGCTGGATTTTAATTTTGAATCCAAGTAAAACCCTATGTAAAGGCCTGATGTAAAACCAAAGTAAAACACTGTATCTGTCATTCAGTTAGTGTTAAAAAAATTGATGTCATTTTAATCTTCAAATAGGTATGAACACTGAACCCGGACACCAAAGGGAAACGTGTTCAGTTCAGCGTCTTTGGTGGTGGGAAAATCGTCACTGCGTGTGTTTAGGCTTTCGAGAGCAATACAGAGTGTATTTTCAGTAGCCCTTCCAAGCAGAGGCATGCTTATGACTTGTATCTTGAGATAAACTACTCTTGATCCAGATAGAACACTTCATCAAGATTGTAACAAAACTGTAACGTGCATAAGAAATCAATTGGTGCTCAGTATCCCAAAGTATGCCAAGCAGTTTACAACGTAAAGAGGAAGTTGGAATCGTGGTAACAGAGTGACGTTGTAGGTAAACAAGACAGTCATTATGTGCATTGTAATGTTCCATGTGCAGCTCGGCACTGGAATTTCTTAGTAAGATAATGAATATTGCCAGAGTTATCCAGTTACGCTTTTGAAACTCGCTCAGTATCTTTAATTTAGAGAACTACAAGACCTAGGCAGAAGGGACCTCAGGTTGACTCTTTGTTACTGCCTTTACACCTCAGTTTAATCTATTGTCCAGCTGATTGCCCAGTTTCGGATTGAAGAATACTGTCTGCATGGCAAATCACACCTAATTTGGAACAGAGTTCTGAAAACTTTTGTCAGGCAGCAAGATGACTAGATTTCTACTGACTGAGGGTCATATTGTTCACAGGTTACCTTATTTTGAGGACAGTTGTCTTCTAAAAACTGATTTTGATAACAGATCAATGACAATGTGTAAAGGAATAGCTGATTCTTCAAAATAGTTGTTAGTAAAGCTTTTCCACTAAAAAAAAAAAAATAAAAAATAAGGTGTTAGTTAGAGATGACCAGGTGCTTAGCTGGTGGGAACAAGCCTGGTATTACTGAAGTCAGCACCGCACCCGCAGCTTGCCATTCCCCAGAAGGAGTAGGTGCTTAACTCTGTTCTGTATTCCCCAGATCCTACTTCAAGTCACTGTTTTCTGCTTGTGAAATCAGTCTTGTTCCTTCAACATGGAACTGTTATATCAATAAAGAGGTTGATTTAAGTTGAGAAATAATAACATTTACTTAAATATACCATCTTCTTGCAAGTCACCTCTGTCTTAGAAGATACATGTGTGAAATACTTTAAAAATAGATTTCTGCTTTCCAGTTCAACAAGCAGGTTTAAGTATGTGTCTCTCCTAAAAAGTGACTCAATTGAAAGAAATGCAAGAAGGAAAGCCACAATGCTCAAAAACTTGCATTTCCTCGCTTTGTAAAACAAAGACTATTTTCTAAACGCTGCATCTGCAAACCAAACCCAGCATCCAGAAGTTCAGCTGTGTTCTCTCCCATTTGCATGTCTCCACATGTAATAAGGATTCAGCAGGCCAAACTGTGCCATTATTATCTTCAAGTTTTGACTTTGCTGGTACCTGAGAGATGTCGTAACTCATCTAGAAATACATTATCTTTCGGGTGAATCAAGCTCATTCTTACACAGCTGCATAAACAGATGAAGATTTAATTGAAACCTGTCACTATGGTGGACAAGCCTCCTGGCTGTGGGCATTGTATCATTCCAGTGAGAAGATGCCGTTTTTTAGAACGTCGCTTTTCCACACAGAGCAACGCTTCAATACAAAACCTGCTGAGTTTTAAAGACTGATTTTATTATTGTGATCCAGAAATATACGCACGTGACAGTCCCCTTCAGAGATTTAGCTATAATCTTTAGATCACTTACCTAAGGTGTTGTAATATAATCTGGCACAATGTTAAAATGAGACTTTAGATTTCAACATCATCATCCCTGAATGTCCAATTATGTTTATTGTATAGAAATCCCCAAAATATTAAATAAAAAAAAAGCATCAAAGTCCGCTTCATGAGCATCTCTATGATACTGATAACTGAGTCATATATTCATCAATAAAGTGGAATTTTGTTGCAGCAAACGGGATGCTCTGTGCTAGGAAAAATAAAGTTAGGTGCACCGTTCGTATTGAATTTTTTTCCCCTCTGAAGCTACCTCATATACTTCTAATACCAGAGCCTTTGTGAGGGAACTATTTGGGTTCAGACAACGCAAGAACTAAATCGTACATGGAAAATACAAAATATTACTTCAAATTACTGACAACAACTTTAATGTGAATCAACAAACTTGGTATTTAAGAGGAAATACATTACCCTTTCTGTTTGTTACCAAAATGAATGAGGATTTCCTATCAACGCATCCAATGGCGTATTTGAATCATAAAGCAAGATAGGGCTGCCTTACTGAAGGCCACTGTGAATACCCTTTTGTCAGTCCTTTATTTTCAGTTTGTTATTTCAAAGGAATATGCACCATACTTCTTTAATGAGTGTTCATTTGCTTCTAGAATAAATTGGTAGCGGTTTCACAGTCCTAAAAGAAATACAATAGGAGGTATTTCAGGTGATTACAAGCCATTTCTAACTAGAAAAAGGCACCTAGTTAACCAAACACTGAGGTTATTTTGTCTGTGATCTTATTTTGCTTCAATATAAAGATATTAATTGAATTTATCTTTAAGTTTAAAAGGTTGAAAAGCCTTTTAAAATAAAATGACAGTAGAAAATTAATGAACTGACAGGATAAATATGCACATCTACTTCCAAAACTTAAAATTTTATACTTAAGTTTCTTGAGTGCCACCAAAATAGGAGAAGTTAGTACAGGTAATACACACTGTACTCTTTAATGTGCTTTATCATAGCTCCTAGATCATGACTGGCTTTAACAAGAATAATTTTGCAGCCAGTATTAAATAATCCAAATTGCAGAGGTAATTATTGTCTTATTTTCTGAAGTTCGGTAGGAACCCTTGAAGGACTTGGAAATTACTAATTGAGCCAAAGAGGAATCAGGAACGTAGCACACCTTTGGAATGTCACCATAAGTCCCAAATTATTTATTTACACCAATAACCCCAACGTATTTCAAGCTAAAATCCTGGAACTGTTTAATGATCATCCCGCCATCCACATAATGTTTTACTTGTTCAGGAGGACAGAAAAGAACGACGTATCCAAGCAAGAACGGAGGTGTCAGCTCTGAAGGCGCAAAGCATTTCACCTCACGTGCTAACTGGTGTGGGACATCACGGCTGTAATAGCTTCTTTCTAATGAGTGCCTTTGATGCAGTTGGTTTTCTGGGATGGGAAGGAGCAGAGAGGCAAAGCTGAGTCATTTTTTAAATGAAGCTACCACCGTCTACACAGTTGCTACCTATTAGACATACAAACTCTTCAGCTTTCTAGACATTTCTTCTGACCTCCGTCATGGAGAACTTCACAGTGGAGATGCAAAATGTAGATGGATTGATAATCTAAGCCCTGCACATACTTTTTCCCACATGTCCGACATGTAGATGAAGATTTTACACCATGACCAGCAGAGAAAGTCATATTCTAAACACCCCACACAACAAGAAATGAATAGCCGTACTTCCACTTACCTGTTCTGGTGGATGCAATTCTTCCTTATCATACAATGATAAGCAAAAGTAGCTCAAATGCAGTAACGAAGAAAGGAAGTGATTCAGAGGCTTTGAACCACAGGACTTACAATTCACATGCATCCATGCAAATGCCTGCAAAGTGACTGGGCCTAAAATTGACTGCAAACCGGCTTGTAAGTCTGCTCTCTCATGGAACACCTCCATGCCAGGTCACTACTTGAGCAACGTCACTCATACGCCACGCAGTAGTACTCAATGCACAGCCCACATCCAGCTGCCAAACGTCGCCGTCTTACAATACCCAAAGATCATAAAAAAGCAGAATTTTTTAATGATGAGTAGGAGCTAAACCAGCATGGCTACCATTAGCCTCAGAGGTACTGGTTTTCTTTCTTTCCAGAACTAATCCAAACATCTAAAGAAAACTTAGACAAGACCAGGCAAAGATCCTTTACGCATCCCAGAAATTACCAATACGCAATTTTATCACTAACTTTTTTGGGTCAAAATTGTTCTTCACAGAACAGAGTCACAACAGCGATACAGTTGACACACAGTATCCTTAAAATTGTAAAGTAATATGACAGATACCGCAAAATGGTGGGGAAAAGGTCAATGATACTATTGAAATCATCATGTACTTCTGATAATTTAACACCACATAGGAGAGCGTAAATGCTGTTCACTTGAAAGGAGGTCTGTGTCCCACTCAGCAGAATAAAGTCCTAATAGAGCAACGTCATCCCGTAACTATGACCTTTGTTAAAGGCTTTGAAAAGACATGACGAAGTAAAAACTATCTACATGAAACCTGCCAGATCCTCCACTTCTTTCCCGTAAGACCCTACAGCTGATCATCAAGATCGTCAACCGGAGAGTAAGTCCAACCATGCCCAACCAACCGCAGCAATGCCACACCCAAGCACGCCCCGATGGTTGAGCAGTGCCTAATCATCAGCACACAGCTCCAACTGGGAGGCGATCGTTGCTGTCCTAGCCCGTAAACTGCGCGCTCCAGACAACCACAGCACAAACGGCCATTTCACCAGGAAACGCGGAGCCGAGGAGTTGCTCCAGACCAAGAACTGGTGTAGGACGTCCAGTCTTGTTTGGTTTTTTTAGATGGTAGACTTCCACCCCGGTTCCACTTACTGGAGCTGGATATTTAAAACAGCTGGGTCCAGCCTTTCTTATTTTTAATTTCTGCTTTCTCCCTTCTTCTTCTCTGGCACGGGAAGAGTGGCTAGACTTGTTCTCGGTTCGGGCATTAGAACTGGGTGCCTGAGGTCAAAATTTGGCCGGGTCTCGCCGACTGCCTGCCAGCTCCTTTTTCTCTCCCTCCCCCGACCTGGAAGCCGGGCGGCCGTCGCCCGATC